GCTGCGTGTATTCCGGCTTGGACACTCCATTCGCTTACCTACTTGGGCTCTCTCCATCCATCTCAGTTGAGCTAGAAATCTTCTTCACAAGCCGCTCGAGACCTCACCAGCCAATCGTCGTCATTCGTCTGTTCAATTGGTCGCGCGTCATTTCCAACGAACAGACTATCCCGTGCGCGCTCCTTAGCATCAAACTCGTCGAGCTGTACCGACTTTGCCAGCTTGCCTCATCGTGCGTCCAGTCTTGATGCAAACGCAGGAACAAATTGGGCCGAATATGACTGCTGATGGCTGCAACTGCAACTTCCCATCATTTGGGTGAAAAGGGGTGAACAAGCCCCGTCAACGGACGACGTCCTACCGTTTCGCTCGATTCCAAAGCGAGGGATCGCCCACCTTGCCTTGCGTCCGTCCTGTGATACTCTGCCTTACAGCTCAACTTACCTAGCCGCCGGGTGGATTGGAGAAACCTACATCCAGGTAGAAGACCCAGGCTCCAGAAACCGAGCGTTGCAATAACGAACCCTCACCAGGCATCATCTCCATCTTTGGTAGTGTCAGGATCCCACCAACGCTTGCTGCATTGTTGGTGGCGGCACCTGCGACATATCCTCACCTAGTCATCCTAGACATGCGGGACGGACTGGCCTTGACCCGTTCGTCTTCGGCTTCTTGCTCGCCCTTCGCATCCATCCAAGCATCTACCTTTCCAACCGAGACCTGCCAAAAACTGAAATTCTGTTGATCAAGAGAGAACGAGAGACTAAAATAGCCCTCTCGCAACGAACTCTAGAAGCCTGATGGAACCGCTGCCCACAGACTCGGGATGCCACACTGAACGGCGCCGGACATATGGCTTCCTTTCTTTTAAAAGAACGGATGGATGTACCGCAAAACACACAACATCGGAGCCGGGTGGTCTAAATGCAAGAACCTAGGTTGGGAATCGTCCCTTTCCCACTCTTGCAGTCGTTCCTAGTGCTTTTCTGTTCGAGAAAAGTACCGACCAGACAGGAGCAGAAACCGGCATGACGCCCATCGTTCATGCAACCAGGAGGCGCAGGCAGGCTTGAAACCACTGCTTTTTTCAGCTGCACATTTCAGTCCTGCGTCTGCAAATGCTGCAGAAAGAAGAAAGAGATCAAGACAGGCTGCCAAACGCACAGCAACATGACGCCGTGTCAGTAGCTCGCAACTTCTAGTCTCACAGCACCTTCACTAGACGAGCAGTGTAACCGCCTTGCGCCAACTTGGCTCACCGTTCGGAGTGTCTGCGTTTGTGACAGCGCAACTTGAAGGTTCATGCACACCTGATATGATCGACTTCTCGACCCAACTCAGCATTGATGAACCTATCGGCGGCCCGTGTGCTCGTAAAAATCGGCGCCATCGTTAACGACAAACAAGTGGCATGTCAGAGAGCGCCACCCCTCCTTTTTCCCTCGGTGTGCCTCTGTCAACTCCATTTTTGACTTTGACATTGTCAGCGTCTGCACCCCAGAGACAGCGACAGGGACCAAATTCAGGACCAGGGTCGCGCTTGACCGTATCGAGAAGGCCCACATGCCCGTTCGGAGAGCGGTTGGGCGGGATGTGGAATAGGGGAAGCCAAAAAGAAAAACAAGATCTCGACTCGGGTACGGTGGTCCCCGGCCCATCCAGGAATTCCTGCATCCTTCAATCCGTATCCCTGATCCCGTTTCCCCATGATTATCGCATCTCTTCGGCTTCGGACGCGGACATTGGAGGGTGGAACGGACCTCCTAAACCCTGCGATGCTCCAAGCCACACAGCAACTCGTCATCATCTTTTACAAACCGCGCTATCCGTTCATCACATCCGATACCTTCAGCGGGCTTGTTTGGTTTCAACCGGTGAACACGAGTACAGACGTCCGTTGTATTATCGGACGGAACATCGATCTCCTGATGGAAAAACTGGAAATCAATACAAATATTTACGGTTCCGAATACCCTTAAGTATCACGTACGGTTACATGGTACGGATACCGGCCTTGGGAAGCTGAGCCTCCCGCCGGCCCTCGCTGCGGCCCGTACGCGTTATTAAGGGACTGTCGTTCGCGAAGCATAATGCCTGCGTTCAAGTCTCAAAGTTGACGCCGGTAGCCAGATTTCTGGAACCTTTCATCATCCAGCTGAACCCGCCAGCGGTCCATCGCCAAGGATCCCGTGCTCTACTAGTGTAGTCGATGTAAGACCGCTTCACTGCCGATCTTCTTTGTGTCACCCAACTGCGAGATGCGCAAGTCTATTCTTCAGAGTATCAGGTGTACACCCTTCTGTAGCACGCATTCTCTAGATATCTGTTTTCTCGGCTACCTGCTACTCAATCTGTCGAGCCTCCAAATCAAGAGCCTGGCTGCGGTGGCGCGTCTACGTCAAGGTCTGGCCGCATCAGACGCGGATTCGGCGCTGTCGACCGCCTGGTCGCGCTGCCAGCGAAAAAGGGGTCTTAGCCGCCCGCGTGCAGACAGTCCTGACAATGACCTGGGACTCGATACCAACGCCATCACAGTGCGGCTTGCCTTTAAGCATGTCGAATGCGAAAACATAGCTCACAGAATCCGCCGCGTAGAACAAAGGCTGTCAAAGCAGCGGGGGACTGTGGCTGAACTGAAGCCTGCACCGCCTTGAGCTGGCCTATGCTCTTCATTTCCCCATGCCTGCGACACGTGGGAGGACAGGATGCGATTTCATGAGGATCGCCCCCTCTAGGGAGGTCCGGCAACACCTAGCTTCAGCTCGGCTTGTTCCTGACCTTGTCCAAAAGAGACCTTGGCTCGTCCCAGGAACAGCGAAGACAAGACACGCCGCGCGACGGATGGGAACATTGATCCACCACTATTCGAGGCCGTTCTCGATGCTCCGCCTACACTCAAAGTTTTACCAGCACAACAGTGCGTGACGCGGAGAAATTGTACGCGACGTTTCTCCTTGCGAACTAGATTGATGGACCCTTCTGCAGGAACCGTCGTTCGAAGCGTCCGATGCACAGTCCATGGCCTCGTTGCTGTCACCAAAATCAGGGGCTTGTCTCTACTACTCTAGCCCTGCTGGGGTCAGATGGTCACGAGCAGAGCGTTCTTGGCTGGTGGGCAAGGAACAAGATTTCCACTATTGACTGTAGCTCAGAAATCTTTTTGACTTTTCAGCCTGGCTCCGGTCAACGTCAACGGCCACCGGCCTCCTTGTGATCTGACGGTGTTGCTATAATGGGCAATCATTTCCCCCTTTAGCCCCCTTTCCCATCGTGATGGCTAGATATGAAGGGCTTCTCCGTTCGACACCAGGATGGCTTGGCTGGTAACGACGTCTGTCATTGTAAAGATTTCAATGTCAGATCCCAAAGTGCCTCTCTCGTCGTTAATGAGCCAATGGGATAGCGCCAAGCCATGGCTGCCCTTTCGGATCTGCCTCCCGCGATGCTGTCTGTGCGATGCGAGGTCTGAACTGGGCAACATCAAAGCACCACCCACACGATACAAGCTCAAATTCAAGATCGAGATTATCCCGTATTCTAGTACAGCGCAGCAGCCACGTAGAAGCTTTCTTCGTCCAATCGGCAACAGTTCCATGGTATCGTCGGAGTCATCGGGAAGATACAGCCAATATCTTAGCAAGACCATGAGGTAGCGGTTCATCTACGTTCTGCCTCACAAAGCGCTAAATCTACGAATAGATAGACGACGTCTTCTTACCAATCTATGATTCCCTAGATGGCACACATGATTTCACCGTCTCGCTTAGCCTCTTCCAACAAGCTCACGAGACTGACTCGCGATCCAGCATTGTAGGCTGACGGCCTGCTGGATGAGATTGCGACTACCGAGGGTCCTGGGTCTAGTTCTATGTAGGCTTTCTGATGATCCATCGACACAGTTCAACTTACACGCCTGTCACCTCGCTTGGCTTATGGCAGATGACGTCCACAAAGAAAACGAAACTAGACGACCTCTCATGTTGAACAGCGCCATCAGTGTGTTTCAGTCACGGTCTGCCACAGCTACACGGCATTCCCGCCCTCTCTCTCTCTCTCTCTCTAGGTACAGAGTACAGAGTAAGGAAACACAGAAACCGCTATTGTCGGGTTGCAAACCATCTGCAGGTGCAGGCGCCCGACGTCAAAGCTCTCGCCGACAGCTGTCACTTCCCACCCTAACCCCGGAGAACCCTGTAGGAGGGGCCTTCCTTAATCTCCGCGGACGTCGTCGCGTTTGTCACCCCGACGCAGATCTCCTTGACGAGGCCTGGGTGAGGATGTACATTGGCCTGCTCGACTGTAGCTCAGTAGGAGATTCCTACCCAACAGGACTCCGTAGATTGACAAGTATGCGCAAAGCACGGATAGCGCATCATTAACTTTGTAAAGAAAAAATCGGGTGGCTGGAAGGAGATCCACAACTCTGAAGCAGCGCGTGAGCAGGGTTATCGGCCATTTTTGAAGGCAACGGCTGCGTGGGAGAGGCTTCTTCTACTTCATGTGGAGCACCAGGGGGGGGAAACAATCGTAGATCTTTTCCCACACTTACAACCTTTGCGCCTCCTCGGCCGGTCGCCATTTACTGCGGCGGGGTACGCGAACCTAGGGCAGAACAATCCCGGGTCAGCCCACCGACCCGGGCCCCGCCCCTCTGAGGACTCGGGAGAAGAGAAGAGGTACTCGGAGTGGCTGGCTACATGGCTTGAGTGGGGAGGGGAAGCTGCTCTTTTACGAGTCTGCTTGGTGCTCTCACATCGCAAGAGACTCATCCTCGTCACAGATAGCGAAATGACGATGGTCAGAAATTCTGTTACGTGTGGCAGGAACCCTGGAGCCTGGGACCTCTTGATCGGCGACATGGGTTCAGTCGGGTGACAAGCCAGCGTTGACAGGGGCTGGACGAGGACGAGGACGAGACTTCTTTTTCCGGCTCCCCGAGCCCCCAATGTGTGCTCTTGTGTGAATCCGTAGCCCGTCGGTATTATGCTCAATCTCCACAGTGTTGTGATTGTTCTGCTGCTATGGAGTAGAGAATCGTAAACTTGAAGTCCTTCGTATTAACAGACAGAGACGTGGCACAAGCAAGGCGACGAACCCAGATCTAAGACGGATGTTCCCTCGCCTGTCCCATCTATAATCCAAGAACCCCCTCCCTTCCTAGAGGTTACCGAGATGACGGGGAAAAAGGAAACGGGAGAACGAAAAGCAGGTAAGGTGCAAGGTTCGAGTGTCGCGAGATCGAAGGGAACGAACAGCTGGGGGGGGAGATGACGTTGTTCTACAAAGATTAGCGATTTTGGTGACTGAGACAAAGAGATCCCATCTCAAGTCACACCCTACTTGCCGCTTCTTTTCCTTCGTTTGGATGTTCAAGAACATGGTGTTTGTTTTCTCTTTATTTTCTTTATTCTCCTTTCCCATTGCTCGTGGGCGGTGGGATCAGGGGTTGTGGAATATTGTTTTTTGGCCATTTTGGGGAAATTTTGGTCTAGGTTGGATTGGTGATACATGGGGTGGAAAAAGTCACTTTCTTTCACGAGGCTTGACTAGAGAGCACCTGGTATTGCGAGACTTGTCGGCTATCGAGACGTGTTGGCGAGATGGCGCAGTCATCTGGGCTGGAGTAGAAGCGTATTTCCCAGTGAGATTCAAAATTGACTAGAAACAAGTTTTCTGGGGAGTTTGATGTGGACATGCCAACATTGGGAACTCGGATCAGAGACGGAAGATATGATGGCAAGTACCAGATACCAGATATATCAGACCGTTCAAGCTGTCCCATTTCACAATGTTTCGCCTGAAGGAGAGGAGTGATTGGCATGCCGAGTCCAACTGGTCATCTCACATGGCCGGAAACATGATTAGCGACTACATCGGTGTATTGATTGTGGTGAGCAAGGCGCGTTTCGATATGAGATCTGCACAGTGCCAACATAGGAGGGCCTCGTTCTTAGATAGGTCGGATGTTGAGTGTCGTTTTTGGACTCTGGCACAGGGAAGAGAAGTGCAACTTGGGTCCTGTTGTTTCTCATTGGAAATCGAGATTGATATTACCCTCTTTCACGAATACTACTCTTACTTCAACCAGCGTCCCTATTTGTCACCCGCTTGCGCACTCATTTCATAACTTGATCAAAGGGCGCAAGGACTATCACCGAGTGAAGCTTCGGATAGTCGTCCCTCAACGAGTCAGAGACCTAGATTCTCGTCCTTCTCGTGTTTACACTTGTCGATAAGTCAAGCCTGCAACAGAAAAGCGATGACTCATACATAATAGCCTCAATCCGGGATCCTTGGAATCGGGGACACTTATAAGGATCAAGGTCTTGCCGGACCAGAACAGAATGTTCATCTACCTACCTTTTGCGTATAGGTCTTCCACTGAACCCATGAATCGAGCTTCTCTACCCATTTCCGCCCCTTATGGGCGCTTCGACAGCGTCCTGCAAGAGTCCAGTGGTAGTCAGCGGAATATGCCACACGTTCTGAGCCACGTCCGAATCCAGCCTCGGCTCCGAAAACCCTTGGGAGGATTAGTGGAATTCCTGGGGTGGTTAAACGATCGGAATAGCCGAAACAAGATGGCGAGCATAGGTATTCTCGCAGAGGAGCTCATTGATGATGACACCCCTGTGCTCCCTAGCTACCCAGGCCTCGTCGAAGATAATACGTGCCCACCGTCTCATGTGGTTTCTGAGATGGGACTTGAGCTCCCATTTTGGAACTTAGATCTCAACATTCTCATCATCTTTCTCGACAGCATATCATATTCGTCAAGTTCGGTATATACTTGCCTTCTTATTAGCTGTAATTGCATTACGATTGGTATCTTCCTATACTTTAAGAAGCGTATCATTAAAAGATTGTATGACTAATCCAAGGGAATAATAGCAACAACAGCACCAGTTGTAGCAATAGCAGCAACGGCGGCAATAGTAGGACCAGAAATTAGGGATCGAGCAGGAAACTGCTCTATCAACATCAATATTTACATTGCCGGGTGCTAAGCACGCTGTCTCATAGTCCAGTCATTCTCGAGAAGTAAGTCGGTATCCAGGAACAACTTGGAAGCCTTACATTTAGCTTTGGCATTCTTACACGTAGGAAAGCAAACATCTTCAAAACGTAAAAAGGGGGGTATCTAGCAGCTACAGAAACACAAACAATCAAATCACCTCACACATTCCCAAACGCTAGACCGTCACCCGGCCCACCACCTCGCTCACGTCCACTCCTACGAACCCCATTCTTTCTCACCCAAGCCCACCACCCCATAAACGACTGTATCAAACCCAAATCATTGTCACGATGCTGCTGCTGCGGCTGTGGATGGTGCCGCGGCGAAGGTGCCGGCACCGCAGGCGGTCGACGGCTCGTCAACCGCCTCTTCCTCCTGGGTCTCGTCTCCGCCACGGGCATGACGACAGCTGGTGTGAACTGATCATCCGAGCCGGCGTCTGTAAATAGCCGAAACGGCCAGGCGAGCGCGGCAAAAGTGTGCCGGGCGAGCGAGTACCCCGCGCGCGTCTGCAGGAGGATGAGGGCCACGATGAAGGGGACGCAGACGCAGACCATTGTCACGGGGAATCTCCAGTCTTCTGGTGAGATTGTAAACTCTGTGATTCCAAAGACTGACTGTAGAGTTTTGACGTGTTAGTATATAGACGTTGAGAAAGGATAGAAGGAAGAGGTAGCAGGCGGGACATCCGCTTACAGTCACAAAAGTCAGGGGCAAAAACACCATGGACCCCAACGTCAGGACCTTGATGTTATCCCCTTGCTCAATCGCCCTCCTCGACTCCTTGATGGAACTTCCGCTGAAAAGCTGATCTCTCAAGTTCTCAATCTCCTTGCGCGTCGCGGCATTCTTGGCGTGCACCGTCTCCAGATCCCGACACGCGCGCTCCAAGTCGGAACGTAAGAGCACCATCTTATCGCGGTACGCCACGCCCTCGGTGCTCTCCGGCGCCGGGTGCGGCCAGAGGGTCTGGTGCCTTCCCTCCCAGAAATCGTCGGGAAACGTCTCACGGTAGGCCGCGAGCATGGCGCGCAGGCCCTCGTTGACGACGCCCAGCGTATTGTAAGCCCAAAAGTACCGCCGAATGTAGGTGAAGTGCTTGTCCTCGAAGAGGAGCTTGTCGCGCAGGCGGGCGTCAAACATGAAGTCCGTCGGCGGGGTAATGAGCTTTGCGATGCGGGCGTGGAGCGCCAGGTTGCGCTTCGTCGCGTCGCGGTATTCCGTCACGAGGGCGTCTAGGAAGGCGTAGGGCCCTGAGGGGAAGTTCTTGTGCGCTTCGGCGTCGCCGCCGCGGAGGGTGTGTTCGTCGTCTGGGAAGGACTGGATCGAGAGCAAGTGCCACGGCGCGAAGGTGTCGAAGAGGAAGCCTTCTTGCGGGCCTTCGCGGCGGCGGGTTTGTTTGACGGATTGTCGTGGTGGGCCGGAGAGGGAGAGGGCGAGGATGGAGCTGCATTCTGCGATGTCGATGTGGTCCCGGGAGCGGCGGTCTGCGGGCCGTTTGTCGTACTTTTGAAAGGGGGCTGGTTCGAGGCCCTCACCTACGACTGTGTAATACTTGAAGACGAAGAAGAAGCTGCGCTGGCGGAGGTGTGAGGGTGAAGGATCCCTCGCGAAGGCACGGTGGACGTGGGCTGTCGTCTTCCCGTTGTTCCCATGGTCTGTGATTAGATGGTTGAGGAGCTCCGTCATGTCGAAGTAGGGACGCATCGTCATGTGCAGCGCACCGAGCATGAGGGCAGACGGTTCTTGTATGATTGTCACAAGACCTACGGCCAGACCATCGGCGTGAATCTCCTTGAGAGCGTTCCATACCGTCGGGGCGTCAACGATTTGAGTAGGGGCTGGAGCTGCGTCGGCTGCGGCGCCTCGAGGACGGCGGTCTGGGTGTTTACCCACGGGTCGAGGTGACCCTTCATTGTCGACGTCGTACAGCTCGAACGTTGAGCTGACATAGCCCTGGCTTTCATACGCAGCAAAGTCTTCGAATACCGCATCCTCGTCGATGTCGGTTTGCCGTTTGATCACGTCCGCGAGCGCAATGGCGGCGCCGCCGGTGAAGTCAGTGTACTTGAGATGGCGTAGGAGTTGATTGTCTGTCCATGATACCCGCTCGACGAGCTTGGTGGGAGGGTTGGCGAGGGTCCCATCCGAACTGGTGGCACTACAAGGGCCGGCAATGTCGAGCAAGGGGAGATACTCGACGTCCAGCTCTGAGTGAATCGAGGCCGGTATGTGCTTCCTATCAACGACGCTGGACAGTGTCCGCTTCTCAATGGGGTCCGAGAAGGTGGAACGGCGGGCACGGCGAAGAGTAGGCTGAAAGGTCGCTTCTGATGAGAATGGTGGACTCTGGCCTGGACTCTGGACGGGACTTGGCGATGGCCGGAGGAGGGGAGATGGCTGGCGAATGTTGTTTGTCGTCTTGATATCTGATCTGTCTCTCACGGCACTGGCCAAAGAGTCATGGAGACTTCGTAGGTTACGGAGATATTGATCGTGGCTTGCCTCAACTACTCTGAGCAGCTCCTCGGGACTCTGGGCTGACATATCAGTGATAGATAAGGAGTTTGTCTAAATAAGTGTTTGAGAGATCGAGGAGGCGACTATGCGAGGATAATGGATCAAGAAAAAGTGAATGCGCTGGGCAGCCCGTCCTTAGGACAGCAGCCCTTTTCTACTTAGTAACATGCACAGCCTGCTTTGCCTTTGACCTCCGACAAGACACCCGAAATCAGGATGTTGTGCCATCGGCAGTCTCCAGCTACACCACAAGCACTAGCCTAGGCAGCCTCGACGTTCCCCTCACCCAAGGGGATCGACCCCAAACGCGGCTGAGCCGCGGAGCCCAGGGCCCAAAGGTACGGCGCGGCGTCTTCGGTGTGTGCGAGCATACGCTGCGGGATAAATGAAGGCCAGCAGATGATGGTCCCGTCTCGAGATGACTTCGTGGGCCCAGGGGTGCGTGCGTGCGTACGTGCGAACATCGGCCGACATCACCGAACCCAAGCTTTCGGCCACTGGACCGGGTGGGTGGGCACGGATATGTTCCCCGGTATGCATCTCTGTGCGCCCCGAACGTGTGGTATGACGCAGGGAAACGGGACTTGATAAGTAAACCCGGGGGAGGGGATGAAGGAGGGGTCCAAGATCAGAAAACGCGACGTGGGGTTGAATTGGGGGAGTCACCGAGGTCAGGTAAAGTAGATTTGGACATGAGTCGTCGGAGTTGGTTAGCGATCACCAAGAAAGGCAGGGCTGTCGATGCGGTGTCGTCCGGCGCCGGCCATCAGCAGCGGCTTTCCGCGGCCTATGAGGTGTGAGTCGTAGCTGCAGGTGATTGGCGATGGCTGCTGCCTTGGCAGTTGTGAATGGCGTTGCGCTACCGCCAAGGAGAATTCACGTGCGTAAAGATGCAATCGTTCAGACTTAGGAAGGGGGGAAACGGGGGGCGCGGGAGAGACATCTGGTTGCTGGGGTGCCTTAGCGTGATTTGGAGAGGAATTCGCAAGCCGTTTGAAAATGTCTCAACCCTCAGTCGCTCGCATGATGCAGATGAAGACGCTAGATCATGTATGTAGTGTGGCATCTTTGCATGGAGCTTGGCGTCCGCTTTTTCTTCACCGAGGGCCTTGGATCCAAACCAGAAATCTTGCAAGTAGAAAAATTGTTACCTACTAGAGGTAATTTGACACGAAGCCCACCAAGAAGGGGATCGAAAAGGCACATATCCACAGAAAAAGGTATCGTTTGCATCTAATTACTAGGACCAAGTCCCTTCTGCACTTGGCCCCTCTCCAGACCACACCATCTATACTGTGTGGCTCGGGTACCTTATGCAATCATCATCCAGGTCGTATTCTTCGTGTAAACCGCCATCCTGCGCAATTCTAGTCGAATAACCTCTGGGTCGGCAAAACAATGGGGGTATGGGCAAAAGCGTCAAAACATCTCTCGACAGGCGTCACCTAGTGAGTAGCGACCTCCTGGACCTTGCCGGCAGCGGCAACGGGCTTGTCACCGGTGTCGACGTCCATGGCGTCGTCATCAGCAGCCTCACCCTCGCCCTCCTCCTCCAGCTCATCCTCGCTCTCGCCCTCGATATCGACACTGCCGTCATCCGACATCTCGTCCTCCTCGGCAGGGACAGCCTCGCCCTCGCCGTTCTCGACGCCAGCCATCTCGGAATCCTCACCGGCGGGCTTCTCGCCGTTGGCAGCGCCGTCGAGGGCAGCCTCGGCCTCCTCCTCCTCCTCCTCGCGCTCCTCAGCACCGTACTCGTCCTCGTCAGCCACGAGGTCAGCCTCAGGCTGCTCAGGGGGGAACTCGGCGGGGGCGGCGGCATCGTTGTCCCTATCGCTCTCGGTTAGCTCCACTATTCTGTCGCTTCTTGATTTCCCCTCATGGTTATGAAAACGTACCACTTGATGGCGAAGCGGGTCACACGAGGCTTCTCGGCGAGAACGTTGCGCTTAACTCGCTCAATGATGGGCTTGGAGGGGGGCTCGGCGTTGAGCTCCTCAGAGTCGTACTCATTGTTGACATAGTAGCCAACGCGAACGAACTCGCGACCATCGTAAGCGCAGGTCAGGAGGATCACAGTGACACCCAAAATGTCGGCGTCGGGAATTCTGGAGGTGTTGGGCGCATCGGCCTCGAAGATGAACTTGTTGACACCGACGGGAACAGGGCCAACGAGAAGACTGTCGAGCTCTTGGTCGTACTGATCACTGTTTTCCCAACAGTTAGCGAATGGCGGTGTACATGGTGAAAAATTCCACCACAAACTAACCTAGTCGCAGAACCAACGTAGGTCAACTTCCACTCGAGATCTGATTAAAATCTTGTTAGCAAGAAGGAGGAAAAAAATACTGGTGTTGGCTGGCATTGTTTACCCTTCTCCAAGGACTCCAAGCACTCGAAGGTGATCTCGAACTCGTACTTGTCCGTGAACTTGGCGGGGTTGTTCAGGACCTGAACGCCCAAAAGCGAGACGATCGACATCGTGAAAGGTGGGGGATAGAGTATGGGTTTAGAAAGCGGTAATGGATGTAGAGAAAAAAGTCTGCGCGACTTCGAGTGAAGGAAAGTTGAGAAGAAATTCGTTGCGTAGACGTCGCTCTGAGGTGGTGGGTGGAGTTGGTGTATTGAGAAGGTCGGATTGTTTTGCGGCGAGCAAGATGGAAGAAGAAGGCTCGGCTCGTCAATTGCAACGGGACAACGGCGTGGGCCTGGGACGCGCCTGCCTTCCCCCCCTACCGCGAATTTCGCGTAAAGTGGTCTACACGTTGACGCTAGCCCCTTTCGGCCCTCGCGCCTGTCCGTGTTGCCTGTCAGGTTCCCGTCACCTCCCAGCCACACAGAGCGAAGCTTGGAATGGCTGATGCCTTCCATAGTCATCTTACCTTATCGTGCTCACCTGTGTGGAAAGTACACCACGTAGCTAGAATACCCAGCCTCTTTTCAAAACACTGAGACTGTGATTGTTTAATATCTTCAAAAGCCGAACTTCGCTAGAGCATTGACTCACAGATGCTCGGGCAAGGGCCCAGTCATCTGTCGCCCAATGCCCTAGCTTCTATTCTTGCCATTCTGGTCGTTCCTACTATTCCTGTTATTATTGCTATTAATGTTATTCTTATTATTCTTGTCATTGCCTCTCATCCCTAGTCTATTTCTCAGAGAATATGCTCTGGATATGAATTAAATACTAAGGCCAATATAATAATCTTACGTTGATACTTGGTAGGCTCTGGAGATGAAAGTTCAGGCCTTCCTGGGTGCTTGTTATCCGATAAGATTGTCTTATCAGCCGTAGCTGGGTTCAGCCGAAATTTTGCCAGGTCACCGCCAAATCACGCTAGCCTGGTTTCGGCGTCTACTTTCCTCCAATCTTTCACATTGCCAACAAGCTGCAACCTTCCAATTTTGCGACCCGTTGGTCTTACAAGCAGCCACCATCATCAGCTTCACTGCCCGCCACAGCCATCAGCGACCTTCGATAGCCGATTACGAACGACACGCCTCTTTCAAGACTTTCTTTTGCGACCATTTGTCGATCTTCTGCGAGCCCGATTACGCCTTCCTCGCCCGAATTACCCAGCGTCTTCGCGCCTAGGGCGATCCATCAGCTCATAGCTACGATCGGCGGCACTACACTGCGAAGTCAATTGATCCTTAGGTTCTCGGTTGAAAGCATCGCATCGTGATCTTTGTGAAACTTTGCGACCCAGATTCTTCGGAGAGCTCATCATCATCGCAATGGATCCCGAACTCCCGCAGAACGACCAGCAATTCGAGGGTGCGTCTTGGGGAGAAGATGGATATGAAGAAACAAATGATATACAGCATAGCGACGAACAAAGTCAAGATCCTGCCTTCCCACTTGATCAAGCTGCGAATGGTGACTCAGAAGATGCTGGCGAATATGACCCAGAGTCGGTCGCGATAACTTCAGTTCCAGAGACCGCAGAGCCCAGTCCCCCCGCCGAATCAGCCCCAACTCCTACCACGTCCACATCCATCAAGCCGAAATCAGGCAAACCCAAAACACAGGGAGGATTCCTAGTGGGAGACTCCGATGACGAGGAGGAAGATGCGCCTACTCCGGCATCGAACGCTGTTCCTGCTGCTCCTGCGACACAGATTCCCATTGCACAAAACCCCCCTTTCCCTTCTGCATCTACTCCTGTCCAAGGCCAAGTGAGCGCCACCCCAGAGCAGGTGAACCATGGAGTTCCCGTGCGAGCGCCAAGTGCGGCATCGAGTGCAGCGCAAGCGCCACCCCCTCCAGCAGTGCAGCCTGTCCCGAGCAGAGACCCGAACGACACTTTTGGCATCTTGGAGGATCGTGTGAAGGAGGACCCGAGAGGGGATATGGATGCCTGGCTTGCATTGTTCGCGGAACACCGACGCTACGACCAATTGGATGAGCTGCGCGCTGCCTATGAGCGATTCCTCCAAGTTTTCCCCCAAGCCGTGAGTGAAGTGTTGCTTGTGTGCAGCGAAGTTGGGAAACTAACACATAATTCTAGGCCGATATCTGGGCCGACTGGGCACAGCTCGAGTTGGACTCCAACCGCTTTCAGGACGCCGAAGCGCTCTTCAGCCGATCACTGGTCAACGTGCCCAATGTCAAGCTCTGGACCGTTTACCTCAACTACATCCGCAGACGATACGATTTGAACAACGACCCCAACGGGGAGTCTCGCCGAATCCTGAGCATGTCCTACGACTTTGTCATTGCTTCGGTTGGCATTGATCGTGACTCGGGTCAGCTATGGAAGGACTACATCCAATTCATCAAGAGTGGCCCAGGCCAGGTCGGAGGCAGCGGCTGGCAGGATCAACAGAAGATGGACCAGTTGCGCAAAGCCTACCACCGCGCCATCACAGTTCCCATGTTTGCGCTTACGGATTTATGGAAGGATTACGACCAGTTCGAAATGAGCCTGAACAAAACCACTGTAAGTTTCGTGTTCCCTCAGTAGATGAATCACTGTTGCTAACGACATAATAAGGGCCGCCAATTTATCCAGAAGCGATCACCTGCCTACATGACAGCCAAGGCTGCAAACTCCCAGCTAGATCGGTTGATTCCCAGGCTCTCGCGGACGTCACTTCCTCGACTGCCCCCTGCGCCAGGCTTCTATGGCGACCAGGAATTCATGGAGCAGGTCGATATCTGGAAGAAGTGGATTCAGTGGGAGAAGGAGGATCCGCTGGTTCTCCTGGACGAAGAGCCTGAGGCCTATAAAACTCGCGTATTGTATTGCTACAGGCAAGCGTTGATGGCTCTTCGTTTCTGGCCCGAAATGTGGGTGGACGCAGCAGAGTGGTGCTTCGCCAACAACATTGCGAAGGATGGCAAGGAGCTGGGCCTGTCTTTCCTGACAGACGGCATCGAGGCCAACCCCGAAAGCGTGTTGCTTGCGCTCAGACATGGAGACCGTGTGGAAACGACCTACCCGGCCGGAGACGATGACGCGAGCAAGGCAGCCCGCGCCAAGGCAATCAGGGAGCCCTACAGTAGCGTCCTCGACACACTGTACGCCATGTCCAAGAAGCTCAAGGAGCGGGAAGAAAAGGAGGTTCGCAAGATCGAGGAAGCTTCGGCCCAAGACCCTAACATCAAGGACTCGATCGAACGCAACGACGACGATATCGACGGCGAGAACCAGCCCGGTGAACTTGGAAAGGAAGAGCGCATCAACGCCGTGAAGCATGGATTCTCGGTGCAGACGGATATGCTCAAGCGCACTATTTCATTCGTGTGGATCGCGCTTTGTCGGGCTGCTAGGAGGACACAAGGCAAGGGCAACACGACCTCGGGCCTTCGACAAGTGTTCATTGAGGCCCGTGGCCGCGGTCAGCTCACCAGCGATGTCTACATCGCTGTTGCCAAGATGGAAGCTCTTATCTACAACGACCCGGCCGGTGGTAAGATCTTTGACCGCGGTGCAAAGCTTTTCCCCGAGGATGCTAGTTTCATGCTAGAGTACCTCAAGTTCTTGCACTCCAAGGGTGACACGACAAGTGAGTCCCGGCTCCTCTCATACTCAAATGGATTATGCTGACCCATTCATAGATGCCCGTGTTGTTTTCGAGACCTGCGTCAACCGTCTCACGCAGAAAGAAGATAAGAAGGACCAGGCAAAGCAACTTTACTCATACTTCCACAAGTACGAATCGCAGTTTGGAGAGCTCTCCTCCATTGCCGAGCTAGAGAAGCGCATGTCGGAACTCTGGCCTACTGATCCCAGACTTTCACACTTTGCAAACCGTTTCTCAGTAGACACATTCGATCCCATCGCCTACCGCCTTATCATCTCGCCGGCCGTTCAACTGCGGCCGAAGATGCTGATCCCAACCATCGAGAAGCCGACCTCAGTTCGACAATCACCGATGGCCTTGCCGGTTCGCCAGACGGCCAGCCCGGGCCCGCAGTACATGGGCGTTACAAACTCTCCAAAGAGACCTTTCGCAGGCGATGATTATGAAGAGCTCAACAGGCCACGAAAGCTTGCCAGAGGAGAATCGCCTCTCAAGGGTGCCGCGGGTCGTCGCCTTGACCAGCAAAGACGCAACCAGGGAGCACCCCTTTCCCGAGACATCACTTTCCTCTTGGGTATTCTGCCGCCGGCTCACGCTTACGCTCACTCGCCTAATGCATTCCGTCTGAGCGCGCCCAATCTCGTTGGTCTGATTCGCGACACCCCTGTGCTCGATTACAGCGCGTGGAAAACCCAACAAGAGCTCGGCGCTCGACAAAACAACGGTATGCAACCCCCTTCCCACAGCCGACAGGCATCTGGTGACTACGCTGGGTACGGAAAGAGTGGACGAAACTCGCCCCAGAGAGCCCTTAGCCCATACGATGCATCGGGCAGGCGCCTGGCATCATCCGGATACAGGAGCTCTCCCCTACGACCTGGTTCCAGTGGCGGAAATACCGACCCTGCTGTATACCGACAGGACGTGCCGCAACAGGGACAGTATTCACCAGCGACTTCCTTTGATGCGAGCGCTTCTTGGGCACCGCAGGCGCCTACCGGTTACGGCCAAGCACCAGCACAGCAATATGGCAGATATCAGTATTGATCTTGGAGCTGACGATTGGATTCAGGGGCTGGTTTCCGAAGGGGTTGGCCCTAATTACGATGTCTATCAAAGACTTGGCCGACCACAATAGTCGGTATTTGGTGGCTCATCAAACCTTGAGAGGCTCGGCACATTATGTTGTAGCCTTCCTCTTGAGCTTTGGTTCATGATTTCGAGGGCATTCGTTTGCTCGTTCCTCAAGGGGACATTGGTCGCAAAGCCTGCGACATCAGTGTTCTGTATAATACAAAAAACCTCAAGGGGCTCCGCATTACGAGGGGCGTTCAGGGCGGCGGATATTTCACTTGTACTGCTCGCGAAAGCAGTGCGCACTATTTTGTCAAAAAGCATACGCCACGGCATTGCGTTCGATGGCTCGTTCACAAGAAAATTTTGGGAATGGG